GATGGCCACAGTTCAAACATGAGAGGTTGAGCTTTATTAGCTCCACCTTGCGAAAATTCCGGATACTATTATTTTGCTTGTCGTATTATAGGAGAATTTACGGTAACTAGCGGTATTTACCGGTAACTTGCGGTATTTACCGGTAACTTGCGGTAGACTGCGTACAGCGTACTGCAAAATAATGCGGTATCGCCCGCTCATTTTGAATGGCTGCATCTGTAGATGTGTTTAAATTGTAAAAGGGTTTGAGATGTCTTTAGAGAGCATGAATGGCATCATTACAAATCTGATCTTTTCAGATCAGAAAATAAAGTCCAGCACTGTTGCCGCGGGCTGTTCCAAAGTACAATATGTTTTGCATAGCACCTGCAAAACACCATACCCATGGTTACTCTAATGTCTTAACTAATTTCTTTATGCTGCTAGACAGAATAGCACAGCTCTGTGTTTACTGATATAGATTTGGAATGCAAAAGGGCATTATGAATGCTCTGCAGGACACTGCGATTTTTTAACCAGGGTCAGAATAGTAGTCACCTCTAACAATCTCATTTTCAGCACCAAATTGAAAAGTTGGGTGATGGAGTGTTCAGAGCTTTATGTCTCATGAGTACTTTGTAACCTGTGTCATTAATGAATTTTGTCACAGGGATTCAGGTTGTAACTGTGAAATGTTAAATTTCTCTGATACAAATAAAAAGAACAAATTTTATTTCTGTTGTCTTGAGAGTGTTCTTTACCCCCACCCAGAATGTTTACTTGTGAGCAAGAGTGACTGGCTACCCTCATCAAATCTAGTTTTAGAGTAAAAAGCACTATATACTGTACAATTTTTTAAGTGGTGCTTGAAACACCTCTCTGGTGCCTGGAAAGCCAGATATGAGATTCAAACCTTTGAGGCATTCAGGCCTCTTTATTTTTTTCCTATAACACTAGGCCTTCCCGGGTACACCATGTAAAGGTACTGCTCAGACAGCCACTCGCACATCTCTCGGCAGCTCAGTTTTGCACCCAGGCCCTGCGCACTGCTGTAGTTCCCCATAATAGCTTAGGACCATAACAGACCCATTTGAACTCTAGTGTCTAGGCATGTTGCACTCTAACACAGCAACAAACGTGCTTGCGCACAAAGGATGATGTCAGCCTATGACTTAGGGGAAAGGGGTGGCGGGTGGACTCCCAAATATAGCCCTAGCCTAGGAAAGAGAGTGTGGCACCTGTCAAATGTTTGATGATCTGTGTATCAGCTCACTACTCAAGACCCTGCACAAGAGGAACAGAGATGCCTGCAGTAATGTAAAAAAAAATGTACAGTACTGCAAAAACAGAAGAATACTTCTGCAGCCAACACAGCTCAGATTGGAGCCAGGTTATCCACCCACTTTCTTTGAGAAAGTCACACTGTTGACAACATCTTTAAACATGCAGGAAAAGTGATGGTTTTGTCTACTGTTCATGACAACACTGTTATCACCAAGCTATTCTTAAAGGCTACAGAGTGATTCATAATCCCAAATGCATTGAAGACTACAAGCAGCATAAGGACGAAATTAACCATAAAATATTGACCATGAGGAGGCGAGTGAACCAGTTAAGATCATATACAGCTTTCAGCATTAATCCATGAAGTAGTATCATTGACTTTTCCATTACATCAGAGAAGTATTCCTGGTCAATGCATTTAAACTTTTTCCAGGAGAGCATGGCAATTTCAGTGGAGCAAAATGATACAAAGACTGCTAAGAAGAATGCACAGCTGGAGCTGGTCTTGGATATGGCAGATGTTCCAGTATGCCTCAAGGGAGGGCTATTTTTGCCCAGTTTGACAAATCAAAACTGGACTGCAATCTGTGCTCATGCAGAAAAAAAGGTTTGAAAGAACACAGCTTGAAAAAGCATAGGAAAAAACATCTACTGGTGCAAAACGTTCTGATGAACCAGCTTTGTGCCCAACAAATGTTTGAACTTTATCTCACAAAGATAGTATACAACAAAATCTAGAAAGTTGACCAGGTGAAAAAGAAATTATGTGTGATAATTTTATTATGTGTAAGATGATTTTATAAAAGATCAGGCCCTTTTAACAGATAATTTAGTATTTTGTCAAAATAATTTGTGAGTCTGTACAGTTTGCGTTGCTGTACAGCTCTCTGTGAATACACAGGACTGTCAAAATTTTGATGATTTATGTATCTGTGTATATGTTGAAGGCTATGCTTGCGTGTGTGTGGGAGTAGGAAGGGCCTTATATTAATTCATTCAACATTCTTTTATGAATCATACTAAATTTCCCTTTTCATTGAGGTGTTAGAATGTTATATGTAATATTTTCTGATGTTTTTACTCAACAGATCATTTGCCAGTCTTTGAAAACTTTATGGACGAAATTGGTTCATTATTTTTTAATTTGGGAATGAAATTCATACCAGTGTATTAAGGGTAAACTAAATTATTGATGTTTGTCTATCAATACTGTTTCACTGCTTCTTAGTTGTACTTCTAACCCCTCTTCAACAAACTACTGGGACTAAAATGGGTATAAGATTTGACGTACAGAGGAATTTTAGAGCTGAAAGAGGTGTTGGATGCCTGTTATAACTGAACAATATAAGAAAATCATTGCAGTTAAAGTAAAAGTAAGAAAACAACATTTAGCCCAAACCAAGGAGATTTTGATTTGACTTTGAGATATTGATCTAACAGCCTGGGAGGTTAGTGTCTAACAGTAAAACAAATATGAGTAAGAATGACTGCTTTGACAATAAAAACTTCAATAAAAAGATCTACTAGACAGTAGTAGTGTTAAAATAATAGAGTGGCATATTATTCTGTAAAGGAGATTTTCACTAACAATTTGGATTTGGAAAAAAAATTGGAAAATGTCTGGAATGTCAGTACCTGCTGTGCTTCAGATTCTTAGATCTGTAGAGAGGTCTGTAAAACCAGACTTTTCTGTAAAAATTAAATGGATCTTGTCTATATCTAGTATTAGGTCACACTGGCCTTTCTAATAGTACATGGCTGAATGGATTCAATCACCTGTTGAAGTTTGTGATGTTTGTGACATCTACATTGGATTATTATTTCCCCATCCAGAGTTGCCATGGCAACAGCATCCTCTCAGGTCTTGATACCAGATGTCAATCTGAATGAGGCCTTTGACAACTTCGCTCTCGATTTTTCCAGAGAAAAGAAACTTCTAGGAGGGCTAGATTACTTAACAGGTAAGTTAATATGTCAGTGAATATTACATCATTTAAAACTGTCCTGCTTCATTTTCTATTACATTACCAACGTAAATGTGTTGATTACATTTGAGATCTTGGTTTAAATTAGGATGGACTTATTTAGTCATTATAATAAGTATTTCTGTATAATCTAAAATGTAAAAATACATTTTCCAACTAGTTTTGTCTTCAAAATAGATAGAATAGAAACTTATATAAAGTGTTGTGACTGTTTACTCAAATGGCTTTGTTTAAAAAATGACATATTTTTAGGATATAACTATAGACTGTATTAGTCCACATGCTAAAAGAGCAAGGTTTGATGTGTTCTCTCTTGCATTATATTGACATTACATGAATGCAATAAACACCAGTCTTACCTTGGGTCCTATATTTCCTCTTGAGATTTGCATTTTGTCTTTATTTTTAATAGGAAAAGGGATGCTGTTGAGATTTAAAAGAAGTAGAGTGTGACATGGAAAATTGTTATTGTGTACACACAAAATCAATTTAATGATAATTTCTTTCTTACTAAATTATTTATTTCTTACTAAGGAAAACAAAAGGAAAATAAATTCTATATATTGTGGTTCTATGAACAACTAAAATTTCTCCTCCCTTTTACACAGTTTGTTACTAAAATTCAGTCTTTTTTCTGTGAAGCACCTAACCCTCCCTCTATTCGAGAAGAGCTCTGTACAGCCTCCCATGACACCATCACAGTCCACTGGACTTCTGAAGATGAATTCAGTGTCAGTTCATATGAACTACAGTACACTATCTGTACTGGCCAAGCTAACTTCATCAGTAAGTAAAACCAATTTCATTCACTGTAGTCTGAAATATTGCACCTGAAAGAGAGCAGAACTTTGATAAATAGGTATGTATACATCCGTTCATCCATTTTCTAACCACTCCATCCACTTCAGTGTTGCTGTTGGCAAGCAACAGGTACAAGGTGTGGAGGAGATGCACATCTCACACCAGGACCAATTTTCCCAGAAGCCAGTTCATCTACCAGTACTCATTGTCATTGGACTGTGGGAGGGAATTGGAACACTTCAACTGGAAAGTGACAAAAGACGTCGCCATACAGTGGTACACTGCTCAAAGAATCTTGACTAGCCAAAGAAGATCAATAAGTGGTACACTACCTGTGGTGCTTTAGATGTTAATGAAAACACTAGCTTCATTCACTTTACTGTCATAGTCTTTAAATACACTTAATATGGAATGTAACTAAAGGGAAACTTTAGTAGCTGAAAATAAAAATAATTTCTGAACATAATTAAGAATATTGATTTATTAATTTAAATACAACATTTTATAGAGCTTTTAGTGGTAATGTATTCAAATTTCTTCATTAACATCTGCATCAAATTATTTTAACTTGGTCACTTGTTGTTGTTTTGAAGACTTTTGATGGGCTTTGTGATTGTTGGAATGGAAAATGAAATACTTGTAGTTTAATCAAAACAACAAACCAGGTGATGCTTTGGTTCAGTAGTAGTGTCTTTGCCTATATGTATATAGAAATTGAGAAATAATGTCATACCTTTCCATAACTGCCTATCCAAATCCCTGGTCTGGTATTTGGTACAAGGCAGGTACAAGCCTTGTATCTTGTATCAATACCACCTTTAAAGAAATGCCTTGGGTTCACCTGGGCTGCATTTAATAATAATAATAATAATAATTGCTTACACTTATATAGCGCTTTTCTGGACACTCCACTCAAAGCACTTTACAGGTAATGGGGACTCCCCTCCACCACCACCAATGTGCAGCATCCACCTGGATGATGCAACGGCAGCCATAGTGCACCAGAACGCTCACCACACATCAGCTATCAGTGGGGAGGAGAGCAGAGTAATGTAGCCAAATCATAGAGGGGGGATTATTAGAAAGCCATGATTGTTAAGGGCCAATTGGAAATTTGGCCAGGACACCAGGGTTACACCCCTAGTCTTTTTGAGAAGCGCCCTGGGATTATTAATGACCACAGAGAGTCAGGACCTTGGTTTTACATCTCATCCGAAGGACGGCGCCTGTTTACAGTATAGTGTCCCCGTCACTATACTGGGGTATTAGGACCCACATGGACCGCAGGGTGAGCGCCCCCTGCTGGCCCCACTAACACCTCTTCCAGCAGCAACCTTAGTTTTTCCCAGGAGGTCTCTCATCCAGGTACTGACCAGGCTCACACCTACTTAGCTTCAGTGGATTGCCAGTTGTGAGTTGCAGGGTGATATGGCTGCTGGTGTGTGGAGTTTGCATGTTCTTCTCATGTTTGCATAGGTTTGCTCTAGGTACTACTAAAGTGTAAAATTAAAATTATGTTTTTTCATAAATTATAATAAAGAAAAAATATAAATTATTTTAATGCCTAGATAAACTTAGAAAACACTATGGATTCACAAGCTTTAACATTTTACATGCTATAACAACATGCTATAACTATTTTATATTAATCTGGCTGAGACATTTTGCTCTGTGAACCAGCCCTACTTTTATTAATTTCATATTTTACATATTGTTATATATCAAATTAATAAAAAAACATCTATAATGTATAAAAATTAAAATTTCTGGAGAAAGATTATTTCTAATGGGCTTGGCAGTGGCCAGGAATCAAACCCAGGTATTTCACATAGCAGCACAGAATTCTACTGTTAGACACATGGCATGGTAACATTTAGCCTTATATATTTTCAAATTCTCTCTGAATACTCCCAAAGCCATTGTTAGAAGATGGGCATGTCTGGTGACATCACTGGAAGGAGTTCTGACTGATTCTGTATTCATCTGTTCAGCTTGTTTCTATGTAGCATGGTAACAGATTTTAACAAAAATAAAAAAGTCAAACAAAAGCCGTAACCAATAGTGATGAAACATGAAGTTATGTCTTATTATAATTAAACAATAAGAACTTATTTGAAGTTCTAACAGTAATTTTGTGACAGTCAAATCAGATAGGCCTTGCAACTCTGTCAGTGAAACTCCTGTTTAAAATCTGCTTCATGCCAAAAAGAGAAGCTACTGTGTATAGAGAGGTATATACAGATTCAGGCCATTCAGAATGTGTGCTTCATAATGCGGCAGTTCACAATGTGTATAACACACCCCATTCCCATGCACAGAGACTTTTTTAGAAATATTCTGCTGTGGGTCTGCACTATATTGTAAAACCACCAGGTGGTGCAGTGAATGCTTAACGTGGTGTGAAAACATTTGGGCTGTCACCAGAAAATGCCTAGATTCAAATCCCAGAGAATGCTCAACCCCCTGGAAAAATTATTTTCAACCAAAGATTTATAGTTGTGTAGTGTTGTGACTTTTATTAATTAAATACTGTATTTTAAAGTATGTTAAATATTAAATTAATTTAAAAAAGAAAGTATTGATATTTTACAAAAACAAAATTACTTAGATGAATATACAAAAATAGTTAATTATAGTTGGTTGTGAATGTGATGTGCATCTTTCAGGTTTACATCTGCATTAAAATAATCTTTATTTTACCTTAATGCAAATTTTAGCAACGTTAAACAAAGAAGGGAAGAAAGGTTATTTTTAGAATTGCCAGTAACTAGAGAATAGCTTATCAATATGCTGAAACTGTTCATGATGGTGAAGGCAGATGTGTTACACCTTTACATGAGCCAGTGGCTGACTCTGTTGTTTACTAATGTATACTGTGTAGATGGAGATGACCTTGTTATAAGATAAGATAAGATTTTATTGTCCCCTGAGGGACATTTTGTATGGACTCCCAGCACTCCTGTACATTTTAAATAGAATAGAATGTTAAAAAAAGAGAAGAAAAATCTTACACATTATACTATTAAAAAAAACATTTCACATCATTCTGTTGCACATGTACAGTATAATACATAACAACATGTAACATTTATAACACATCACAAAAACATATTGCACTCAAGTGGGTTGTACGAGTCAAAATTGTGTTTATCCTTGACATTTGCGTTGACAGCTTTAATGAATAGTGGAACAAAGGAATGTTTGTATATGTTTGACTTACATTTGGGAACCCTAAAACGTTTGCCAGAAGGAAGTTGATATTCAGAGTTGAGGATGTGGGAAGGATCTGATATAATTTTTCCTGCCTGTTTGATTAGGGATTTTCCAAAGATTGTCTGCAGAGAGGGGTGCTGTTTCACTCCTATGACTTTCAAAGCTGTGTGGATGAGGCGGGTAATTTGTGTTTTAAAATGAACCGATAGATTATCCACAAACCACAATGAAATACCATACCTGAAAATGTGCTCGATTACAGCATGGTAGAAGAGTATCATTACTTCCTGTCAAACCCCAAACACTCTTAGTCTTCACAGGAAATATAAACACTGCTGAACTTCGAGCAAACACTCTCAACATGAGTAGACCAGCACAGGTTACAGTCTATGTGTACACCTAAGTATTTATATGAGTTAAATGTGAAATGCGAAATATTTTAATCAACGCACTTTATTATTTAAGTCCAAGATCCTGACTGATTTGACTTTCTATTCATCTCATTAAACTGAAACAGAAAAAGAACATATAGTTAAACTGTCACTATTCATTTGCAGATTTTGACTTCACACCTCTTTTCACCTCTCTTGACACACCAGATTAGTGTTGATACTCCTTCTCTCCTCCTCCCACCTTCTCTCAACTCGCATCTTTTCCTCTACCATGTTTTCTGAACTGCTAGTTGTCCTCTCTCCCTCACACTTTAAGAAGGCTCCAGAGTTGAAACATTGTGTCTCTTTTCTTTTCATCATGGAATAAACCTGAACTTGTTCTTTTGCAGCCTATGCATACAACACAGCTCCCTACTTAAATTTCTTTAACAGACATTTATTACAAAGGGTGGGGGTGTTACATCTCGCTGTGCATGTTATTTGGAAAAGGCAGTTTTGCTCAGGTGATGGGCTGAATTTACAGTATCTTGCACTCTTGCTTTATTATAAGGCAATCAGCAATCAGACAGGCTGTTTTTCCATTGTCTGGGTACTGTAGTTTTACAACGTAACCAAAGACTACATTCCCAATATGCCACATGTGCAATTCACATTACGTTACAGATAGAGCCATTCGAAATGCATGGTACAACCCTGTACCGTGCGAAATTACCCAGTTCATAACGTTGAACCGCAGTACATAATTGACTGGCCAAAATGACCAACAGGGGCACTCGTGGTGCACTGGTTGTTAGTGAAACAAGTTAGTTAATCATTTAATCTCTTTACTGTGCATGTTTTAATCCACTTAATATTGAATATTTATATGGAATTTTACAACTAAAGTGAAATTTTAGTAGCTGAGCATAAAAAGAAGAGGAGCATAAGACCTCTGGAGATCATAAACAGTGTTAATTTACATATTATGTAAACTGTAAATGGCTGGTATTGGTATTTTAAATAAAAAATACACAGCACTATTCCACTTTCTTCCTAAACATTTTAAGCATCAAAGTCTTTCATTTGGTTACGTGCTTCTTCTGAATTAAAAACTTAAGTTTTTATACTTCGTAAAAAGTTATAAAGTTTTAACATTTTCTGTGAATACTTATTGCAGTAAAGAATGCATACTTTTTAGGATTTGATTAATAGGGGATACCATGTGGAATCGCATAAAGAAATTAATAACGATTATATTCATTTAACTCAAATTATCACAATAGTACACTTTCTTTGTAAATGTCTGCACCAGTTTAACTCATTCTCTGAGATTACAGATGCAGCCATTCAAAATGGATATCACACGGTATCACGCAGTATCACGCGGTTAATCGCGTCATT